TTGCGATACATCTTTTAAGTTGAGATACAGAAACCATGTATGCTCATTTAAGAACGAGCGGTATAAGCATGCTACGGAATTAAGTAAATATGTTTGGAGTCTAAAGGATAAGAGTATTTTAATTTGTACAGCATCAAATGGCGGAAGGTAAAACAGGCCCGATCATATTCCAATGTTAGCAAGAGTTGTAATTTATGTTTATGGGAAGAATATTTTATTATCTGTAAACCCGAAATGTCAACACTGAACAACAGAAACGAACTGATATCTAATTGTAGACATTCTAAGAAATTCCTGTTAAAGACCGTGCTCGCTTAGCTTTACCAATCACATCTCTGCATGTCACGCCACTAGGCATTGTTCTGTATTTACAATGCAGTACACCGTATATAGTAGTACACTACAATAGTTACTTGAGATTTTCTATTTTTGGTTCTTTTATTGTAACTTGACTCTCTGTTGTTTGGAAATAAGGATGAATTACTTGAATACTTAAATATGTGTAAATGTGAAATCAAAAAAAAAAAAAAGAAAGAAAAAAAGAAAAAAAAAAAATGATGGAGCACTTATACATTTGACCTGTGGCCCAATTGCTTAACCATACCACATTATGCAAAATGGTATTTTCGAACCTTTAGCTCCAAAACATGAGTTTTTGTGGGAAAAGTTAAGCATTTATATATCACTAGAAATATGTCTCTGAATGCATTTGAAACCTATAATATTCTTGATATTTAAAGTTTTGGTCATACGCATGTTAGAAAAAAAAATCTAGGCACTTAAAAGTTGAGACTTAAATGGTCGCCAAAATCCTGTAGTATCCGAACCCCCATATGATTTACTAGAACCACTTGACTAAATATAAAATAACTTACTACTTGTTTTTCATTGTGGTTGGGTAATACCGTAAAATCCCACTTTAAAGCCCTGGGCTTACATAACTTCTCTGATAACTTCATAAGGGGTTTTGAGTGGGCTTATAGACGGGGGGGAGGGGGGCTTATATCCGGGGAGCCTATAAGCGGAGTAAAAGAAATGTCTCGGAACGACGAAGTAAAACGTATCTGAGAAATGAATTAAGGCTAACATACCATTACATTTGGAGCTATTACCCTATTACCCTATTTGCCTACAATTTTCGATAAATTTAAAAATTTTTGATCTTTAATGTAAAGAAACGCAAAAGGAACACACTTATACATTAGATGGGCTTATATCTGGGGGGGGNGGGGCTGACTTATATCCAGGGTGGCTTATATCCGGAATAATATTTTTGTTAGCAAAGAGATGAGCTTATATCTGGGGGGAGCTTATAACCGGTTGAGGCTTTAAAGTGGGATTTTACGGTATACAAATATGGTATTTGTGGAGATATTTTGTTTTTCATTGTTGTAAAAAAAAATGGACACAATAACCAAAATATAGTGTCCATACCCCCTTGTAGTGTCCATAGCCCCTGTGCCTTCAAGTCCAATTTGAGACACAAGCAGGCTTTTTTTTTATCTCAAAATATTATACTGTAACATTTCCACCAAGATTCTGTAATTTCAGTTACTGGATGCCTTACTGGTATCTAATAACTACTTGAGATACCCATAAGCCTCCATTTTTGCCTGGTTACCAAGCTCCGAGCTTAGTAACGAGAAGGGTTGAGAAATGGAGTCAGCAGGGCAAAGACATAAAATTGGTTAAGAAAAATATTATGGTTTGCTCATTCATTTTCTACATTTTTAGTGTCCATAACCCAGAAATTGGCTAGGCATATATCTGAAGAAAGACGCAAATTTAAGTGATTTTATGAAGAAATGTTGTACTTGCAAGCCAAGCATGAAAAACAAAGAATTGTAAGGTTGATTTTTTTTTTCCCTACGTGACCCCCTGCTTTGCCACCCTGATTGTCTTTTAGCAGAAAAGCGGCTTATTGTAGTTTTCGAAACGAAACGAAACAAAACGAAAGGAATAAACCTGTATTAAAATGAACATATCAAGTAAAATCAAGTATCATAAAAGTCAGGTTCCTTCGTGCAATAGCCTAAACAAGGAATAAAACAGCGGAAGTGTAGAATTTGTAAATTCGAAGATCTGTATTTTGCGAGACGAGCTCTTCGACTGACTGTAACGATATGGCAACTTACTTCTTCCGATTCTTTAACACTTTTCGTAGATACAACTCGATGCAGTGGTGACTTTTAACAAAGAATTAAAGCCAAAAGGTCAGAAGTGCTCCGCTTTGCAAATTACAGATTTGTATTTTGCGAAACGAGCGCTGAGTACGTGACTGACATTTGCGTGACTACCTTACTTCTTTCGCTACCAAGGCGATAAGGCGAACGTGCAAACGACAGTTACTTGCTTTTTGGACAACTTTGCAGCTTTAGGTTTGACTAGCTACATAACAGTCTCCATTAGTACTTTATTGTTAGACATCAATTTTCATTTGAGATTATCGAAAATGTAATTGACCGGCCACTCTGGGTATTAATTCATCCAGTTTTCCTTTCACGAGGTCTGGTCTGGTTGGGCTGAAACAAAGATAAAAGACATAAGTAGGGAAAGGTCACACAAGGCTCATTGAATAAATGTTAACAGACTAAAAGATTACTTAAGTTATTAAGTTGATTTTAGTGATAAGGGTGGTGGGCAATGTCTATCAACCATAGTTAATAGAGGGGACCGGTTATAAAGCCCGGCAAACATCAAAGGAGCAAACAAAGATGCCAAGATTTATCTTGGAAGGTCGACGACCGTGCACAATCTCTTGTTTTGTGCTCATACATTATGAGCGAATTACGTAACCAACACGTTTCTATTGCTTAGTTCGTCAGTACGGAGCAAACAACTATTGTATTTTGTGCACTGTCAAGGTTAAAAGAGCGAACAGAAACGTACAACAAAAAACGTTTTCGAGTTTCATAACCATTTCCCTCCATTAACTATGTACCCACCATGCTACTACTTTAGCGTACATGTAAGATGAAAGACCAAATTTTGCACATTTGAAATTCCAAGGCACATTTCTTATCTTTTAGTAGGCAATGTCTCATGTCTTCTTTATCTTGAAATTCTTTCCATGCATGATAAGCATGTTCCAAGTGTTAGGTTAGCTAGAGAGTGGCGCAATCAACAATGAGGGGTAAAACAGGTGGGGGGAGAGGGAGGGGACTGTTGAACAGGAAAATGATTTTTTACACTCCTTTCCCAAGTTTCTCTCCTTTTTTCTCTCGGCGTTTTTTGCACAGCTCCCTGGCAAACCCAATGCCTGGAACAGACTGCAATTTGGATGTTGCTTGCATTCCCTAATCTTTGTTTAACGGGTGGCCTGGGACAGTCTTCGTTCTTAATTCACTTGAGGTTGTTTCATCTTTTCCCTGCCTTTACGAGACTTGGGGACTTGAAACTATCATTGATATTTAAAGTCATCATGTAAAATATAAACATGGCAATGCAAAGACGTGAATTTAATGTAATTTTCAGGTGATACATGTATCTCCAAGCCTAAGTTTTATATTCTTTTTCTCAAGCAGACAAAAGTGTTTTCATAGCTTACAAAAGATTAATATTATGGTAAAAAGATTAGTTATAACACATTTACATGGTTTTACATCTGATTACCAGTCTTGAATGCAAAACATATGTATATCAATTGACATCATAATTCAAATAATTGATTGAAAATTGTAACTACTAAAAAGATAGAAAACATCAAAGAAATTCATACCAGTGACTATGGTCAACATCTTTTGAACCAAATCTTTACACTGTATCTCCCAGCTGTACTTTTCATCATAATGTGAACGCAGTGATGCAGCCTCCTGAAGCCTGATCTTCCTCTCTGTGTTTCGCACCCTCTTGATTGCTTTGGCCCAGACATTGGCATCTTCAGAATCCACTACGGATGATGTTCCAAAGCTGACCTCTTTCAAGGCTTCACCAAATCCTGAATCCCCATGTACCAGGACAGGCAGACCAGACGTTAATGCTGCGAGACCCATCATTCCAAATCCCTGTTCACTTGAGGGCATAATAGCCAGGTCTACCTCGCAGAACAAGTTTTTCAACCCTTCTCTGCTTTTGGGAAGGCTTCCAATGATTAGCTGACACTTTGAAACACCACACTCAGAAAATGTTTTGGCAAATTGCTCATGTTCACCTTCTCCTGCACCAGCATACAAAAGGTGATAAGATTTGTCCTTCAACTCTGCCACTGCTTCTGCAGCAGTTTTAAGACCCTCTTGTTTAAAATTGTCAGGGTTTCCACCACCAAGCATTAAGATACGAAATTTTGCTTGTTCAGCAGTAGCTTGTTTAACATCAGAAAATTCACTAAGTATACCAGGAGTGAGTTTGAAAACATGTTTCTCGTGGCCACGTAGGGAAGCAGAAAGATTGTCAGAAATCCTAGGTCCAGAGGCAACAGCAAGATCAGCCGTTCGACTAAGTGTAACATTTCTGGTATTTTCCCATGACGCGCCGTAAACTAATTCACGTTGCCTCTCCTCGAAAGAGTCAGTGACAACATAAATGTTTTTGCAATGGCGTTGTACCTTGAAAACGTGCGCAATCTTGCCAAGCTTTTCACCTGCACCAACTACAATGTCAGTAGTGAGGTCTCGAGGAGGACAAAACAACCACTCAGTAGGGTCATCAAAACCTGGTTGTTCCTCTACTTCAGCAATGGTAACACCATTACTGTCAGCTGCTCTCTTATCAGTGTCGCTGCATGGATTTTGTGGGACTAGGAATGTGACTTTAACCTCAGGAAATTTTGCCAATTGAATAGCCAGCTCTTGGGAAAAGAATGAAGAATCAAAACGTGGAGAACCCCAACTGGATCCCAGGATAGTAACTTCCAGTGGACCATCTGAGGAATAACTTCCATTGCTTTTCTTGTTTACTTGTTCTGCACAATTCACAATCACATCTGAGTGAAATATCTGCAAAAAGAAGAACCTAATGTCTCAGAAGTTGCGACTCAGCACCAGTACCTGCATTACTATTACGTTGTCATTCATTTAGCCAAGTACATGTATAATTTAGTCAAGTTTGGATTGTTGGCTCCTAATCACTGGGCAGTATATTGCAGTTGCTGTGAAAAACAAGTTAAATGTATTTCATATATTACATATTGCTTTTAGTCTATTTGTTTATCTCTTCACCATATTGAAAAAGAAGATTCTGGAAAATATCTTTTTGACTATTAAACATCACGGTACATGCATATTTCTGAAGGAAGGTATTGACATCACAGAAGATAAATGCACATTACATGTAATGTGAGCCTTACTGTGTTAATTAAAAGCAATAGAATTAGAATTTCTCGAAAGTTTATTCAATGTGTAACAGAAATTGTATAGTTGATAGGAACCGTAATCAACCCAATTCGGAGAAAATACCAACATATCAATTGGTGAATATGTGGTTTGTAGCCGTAGGGTTTCAAAAGCAATGCTTTGACCGTGTTAGAAAGTCCTAGGCATCCTTTGGATTGGTCTTACCTTAAAATCATTTTTGAGGGGTGACAATCTAAAGTGTAATTTGCACAGTAAGGTTTCTTTCTCGAGTTTGGGGCTGCTGTAAAACGTCACCCCAGACAATCCCTTATCATTGATCACCCGAACTCCAACTTGAGCTTGGTGTGGCTCATGACCTTCAAACCTGTTTCAAATGGATATATATAAAAAAGTTCATTTAGTGGCAAATACTCGAAGAGGATAGTAAAAGGACTGAGTCGAGTCTAATTTGGTCTGTAGTCAAACGGATGACTATGAAAGGAGATAACAACTTCACGAGGTCATCAACCCTGTTTAATCTAGTGGTGTGGGGCAGAGGGAAAGGGTGGGAATGCTAAACGCTCTAAGCTATAGTCGATGAACCATATTTTCAAAGGATGTTTTACCGAAATTTGATGTTCTTTAAGCTTAAAATGCAGTAGTGAGTGAAGAGGCGAACAAATACTGGCCTGGCCTACTCGGCTCGTTTAGGCTCGCTTTGCTCGCCTTGCCTCGCGAGCAGGCCCAGCCAGTATTTGTTCGCCTCTTCACTCACTACTGAAAGGCGCCCCCTCGCCGGCCTCGCGCCGGTGGCGGTGGCATCCCCATTTGAAAAGAGAGCCTACCTCTGTACATGATGTACGTCGCGCGTCACAGCAAAAAGTTTATTAAGACTGGGCGAAAGGCGCCCGCTTAAAAAGGCGCCGATTATTCACTTTCAGAATGGGATCGTTCAGATGTATGTCGCGCGCGAGTGGGAAGAAGCGGGGGTGGAAAACAAAAACAGATGCAGAAGGTTCATCAGATGGACCTTTGATAGGAGGTTGGGCGCAAATCAGACGCATTCTATCATTGCAAAGTTTCGGCAACGCATCAACTCGGCTTTCTATATTCGTTAAACCTATTCGTATGTAATAGCAAACACCGAAACGAATTTAAAAATGGTTTATTATAAACAGCGCAAGGGTTCGCCTTGGATAAACAGCTTTGCTGAAGCGGAAAGATTGTTGAATGCGTAGGAAAATGAACGTTTAAACCCTGACAATATCGAGCGCCGTAATACTAAATGGTCGTCTGTACAGTTTTCTAACATTCAAATGAAGGTCGTGCTTGACAGGCAGCCAATGTTAGGCACAGGCGCTTTGTCAGACTGGCTGCGTAACGTTGCTCCCGGCCGCCAAATGGTGGCGCTGGACACTTCTGACAACAACTTGTGTCTGTGGGGCTGCATTGCCGTGTATTAGGTGGCGGGCCCCTATAGGTGCACACAGGTGGCGGAAGAGCTAGCGCAGAGTTTCTTGAAACTTAGAACAGCGCCAAACAATATCTCAAAAACTTCTCTCGATGAATTGGACAAGGTCGAGACGTACCTCAATCAAGTGAAACAGGTTTCGGCTTGGCTTGGGATCAGAGTCTATGAGCCTCAGCGCCAGGAAAACGGTGAAATTCTGTGCCATCTCAGAAGGAACCCTTCAGACAAGATGAAAAGCATAACGAAGATCGGCATTTACGAAGGGCATGCGTTTTTGATCAAAGACATCAAGAAGCTAGCAAGGTTGTATGCATGCACAGATTGCCAAGCACGCTTTACACAAGCCTGGAATCTTCAAAGACACAGCAAAACATGCGCGCAAGGGAGAACAGTTATCGATTGCCCTAACATGAGAGTCGAAGCCCCGCAGACGGCATATGCAGGAGTTTTCTACGGCAAACCCCAAGCTTCGGCGTCATCAGTCCTCTGACTGGAGCGCGAAAGCAAGCAGCTGGGCCAGAATATTCGCCACGCGTTATGCGGCCACGGAGGCGAGCGGTGGATTGAGGGGGATCCGGTTGACAGTTATGACCCGAAAACAAAGACGGTGTTCCAATACCACGGCTGCCATTGGAATGGCTGCCGCCGCTGTTTTCCAAACACCCGGAAACAAATTATCAATCACGGCCAAACCCGAGAAAACCGCTTCCTTTACACAGCGGCAAGGACCGGCGCCTTGAGAGAAGCAGGATGCCGCATCATCGAAAAATGGGAGTGCGACGACGAAAAAACCCGCGAGGTACTGCCAGATCGGGAAACCGGAGCCTATCAGCACGCTTTCTTGTATGATTTTGACAAAGCTCAAAAACAGGAGGTCACGGAGGCGCTCACATATAAAAACGCGCATGTTCTGATTTCAGAGGGCATCGGCGACACGCTGGAACGCGAGCCCACGCACATTTGCAATGCAAACAAAAAAGAGCTCGTTAAGAAGTTCATGACAGAGCTAGAGAGGCGCAGGGCAAACATTCGAGCCCGGGTCTGAGCATAGTTCATGCCGGAAGACAGCGCCCTGCTGCCAGGAAAGGCGCGCATGGCGATGGCGGAATGGTGCGACCAGGTCTCCCTGCTCGGTTTTAACGACAGGCGTTATGACCTGAACCTGAACAAAGAACATTTTGTCGAGCTGCTATTCGACACAAGAGCCAAGGTGCAGGTGGGAAAAAAGGCGAACAGGACGATGTTCATTAAGACCAGCGGCTTTCGCTTTGTGGACATCGTCAACTACCTCGGGCCAGGCACCAGCTACGATAACTGGGTAAAAGCGTACGGCGGTTCTGATCTGAAGTAATGCATGCCTTACGAGTGCTTTGATAGCCCTGACTGGCTGGATTATCCCGGGTTGCCTGATTACACGACGTGGTATTCGCGCTTGAATGGCGGCTATGCCCTCACCCTCGCAGAATGCAAGAGTGCAAAAAAATCTTTAAAGTAAAAAGGGATGCAAACCTTCGCAGACTGGCTGCGATATTACAGCCACCGCGATGTGGCGCCGGGGTTAGAAGCCTTGGAAAAGATGTACGCCTTCTACACGGTCAAAGGCATCGACATCTTGAAAGACGCGGTCAGCCTGCCAGGAGTGAGCTTGCATTACCTCCTGAGAGGCACGATAGAGTGCGGCGCTTAACTGTACAACCCTTGTAAAGAAGCCTATGGAATGTTGAAAGACGCCGTGATGGGTGGGCAATCCTAGTCTTCACGTGGTATCACGAAGCCGGCGTGACGCGCATCATACCGCACCGCTTTAAACAGCCGAAACTCTGCAAGCGCGTCATCGGCTATGACGCCAACACGCTCTATCTGTCGACAATGTTGAAAGACATGCCCTGTGAAAAGTAAAAAAGGTACTGCACTACGACTATCCGGCAAAAGCCGCGCCCGCATTCACAGAATGCATGAAAGCTGGAACTTGGTTTGGATTCGCGGAAGTAGACACTGAAATCCCAAAAAAGCTGTGGATGAAGTTTCAAGAAGTGCGCCCTTTTTCTTCACCAAACAGATTCCCGACAAAGCGGTACCCCAACACATGAAAGATTACATGGCCCGCACCCGCAGAACATGAGGCGACGGGAAAAAGCTGGTAGGGGGCTGTCAGCGCAAAAGCAGCTGCTGTATGCGCCGCTATTGCGCTGGTATGTTGCTCATGGCGCAGTCATTACAGCCGTGCATCGCACGATCGACTATCAGGCGACGAAGATCATCACCTGGTTCGTGGAGCAGGTAACGGCGGCACGGCACACTGGAGATGTAGACAAGAGCAAGGCTCTGCTGGCCGAGGTGTTCAAGCTGCTCGGCAACAGCGCGTACGCCAAGCTCATCGAAGCGCTAGAGCGGCAAACCTGCGTGGTCTACACAAAGGATGAAAAGGTGGTTGACAGAGCGCTGCGAAGCGCGTATTTCAGCGATCTGGAAGAGGTCGGGCAAACCTATGAGCTAGAAAGCAGGAAGGCCCGCATCACGATCAACCGCCCTTTCCATATAGGCATCGCGGTATATCAGCTGGCCAAGCTGAGGATGCTGGAGTTTTATTACGATTTCTTAGATCACTATTTCCATCGCCGCGACTTGGAGCTGATTCAGATGGGCACAGACAGCAACTTCCTCGCCATCTCCACCGAGCGGCTTGAGGACATCGTGCGCCCAGAACTGCGTGCAGAATTCGAGGCAAAAAAGAACGAGTGGCTGGCGTGGGACAAGTGGAGTGGGCGCACGCAGGACCGGTTCAAAACTCGAATGTGAAGGCAGCCGGATGATTGCGCTCTGCCTGAAATGCTACTATGTTGATGAACAACACAGCGAAAAAAAGAAGTTCAGCAGGAACGGCATGTCGAAGAGGCAGAACGCCATCACTTTGTAGCGTTTCAAGGCTGCGTTGAACGGCAGCATCGATAGAGCCGAAAATAGAGGCTTTCGTATGGTTTGCTCTGGGGGAGCAAAGCGGGTGGCCACTTATGAGCAGCAGAAGCTGGGGTTGAGTGCTTATTATGACAAACACTGGGTGCTGCCAGACGGGATACACACTGAGCCGATCGAGTTTCACATGGCATAAGTAGGCGTAAGCTGTGTGTTTGGCGGGACAACCAAGAGCTCTTCACGTACAAAACCCCGCTTAGCACCATCATGCAAATAATAAAACGCAGGCTCGTCTGGCCGGGTCACAGCTCTTTCAAACGTGTGGACTTTCAAAGACCAGATTGGATCTGTAGCTCTTTAATTTTAGTTTCACCTTCGAGTTCACCGGGCTGGTAGAGACAGCGAACCTTCACGTTGGAGGGGGGCTATTTTTCGTTCACACCAACACGCCTTGAGTAAGGAGTGGAGGGTTTGGAGGTGACAGACTTCTCTTTGATAGCATAAGCAGGCTTTTTGCCTGTCAGGGCAGTGACTTCTTTGTTCAGAGCGGCAACAACGTCGGAGAACCTTTTGACCCACGCGTTCCACCGCTGGCCCGTAGGCAAGAGCATTTCTACAGCATACTGATGACCAAAATAAGCGCTCGGCGAGCGTGCGGTTGATACGCTCCACCATAGCTTGGTCTCTGTGAATTTAAGGGCGCCGACGGCGAATACATGTTTTGCGGTTTTCCATTTCTTTGGTGACGCTTCCCATGAACTCCCACCCAGGGTCCACCTGCAGCAGCTGAGGCCACGTCAAAGGGCTGCGCTTGTAAAACGACTGAAAAGCTTTCGCAACCTCTGCAGAGTCTTTCGAGGTCAGACGCTCAGTTTCTTTGTAACGGCTGGCGACATCGACAACGGTTAGTGCGTATTTGTAAACTTTGCGGCCACGCGGAAGCTTGTCGTGAGGCAGAAAAAGAAGGTCCGCGTGGTGGACCGAGTTAGGCACCGATACGT